AAAAAAAAAAAAAAAAAAAAAAGATCTCCTTGGGGGATGCACTTATTTCTGCTGGTACCCAGCTGGTGGAGCTGGACCTGAGTGACAATGCTTTTGGGCCAGATGGTGTGCGTGGCTTTGAGACACTGCTGAAGAGTCCTGCATGTTTCACCTTGGAGGAACTCAAGTTGAATAACTGTGGCATGGGCATTGGAGGTGGCAAGGTAAACCCTAAAACTTGTTTATTGATTATACCATAAAGATTGGGGCAGGTTGTAGGGGTTTGGGTCAGCTTGTAGCTTTCCCCATGTTTTATCTTAATTGCCATCAGACTTCAGGTGATGATCCAAAGTGAGCAGAGTTTGGCTATTCCAATACTGGGTGGTTGATAATTCCCACCCCAGCCCCCCTGCCTCTGAGCAAAAGAACTAGTAATGTTGGTGACTTAGTTCTCTTGAAACTGAAACCCCCAACATGGTATTAGAGGAGGCTATTGTTTGTTTTGCATTTCATTCAAAGAATGATCTGTCATGGTTGCTAAATGTCCTATGCATAAGATCATTGTGAAACCCATGGCTGTTTACTGAGGCTTATGCTTAAACAGCACAATGAGGTTATTGCACTTGGGGGACGTAATTCCCTTTACCAGTTCAATTTAACTAATGCTGATATTGTGTAATGTTTCTGTATTGCGTATCAGAAGCAGATGCCTTTCACTGGTGATCTAAATGTTTCTTGTTCATGAAACACTTCTGGTATCCTCCAGGAGATGAGACATTAGAGTAATGTAAAGCTGTTGACACTGTCTTAGATCTTGGCTGCTGCCCTGAAAGAATGTCACAGGAAATCAAGCGCTCAGGGCAAACCTCTGGCTTTGAAAATGTTTGTGGCTGGAAGGAATCGTTTGGAGAATGATGGAGCCACTGCACTGGCTGAGGCTTTTGGGGTAAGTGCTAAAGCAGACCTGACCTAAAATGAAAATGTGTCAGGCTTTGATGGTGAAAAGTACTCATAAGTCCAGGTGAACCATGACTGAATATCTTTTTGGACAGAAAGATCATGCAGTAGTTACCTCTCATCTGAGACCTGCCCAAAAAGTGGTGCTCAAGTGTACTCATTTATATTCTATCTGTTTTCAACAAATAGAGTATTGGAAGTTTCTGTGCCCTTCTTACATTGGTTTTTATTAACTTCTTACATTTTGATCAAAACAAAAGGTATCCCAAATGCACTAAACAAATAGCTTGTTAGTGCTAATTACTCCCAAGTACAAAGTACCTGTTTTGAATATTAGTCATCCCTTGACTATCTCATTAAAGGCAAAGGTAAGCTGAAATAGCAGTACCAATTTAGCATATGTGAAAGGTGTTCTAGGGGTGTGGCTTTCACTTGCATGCGTCTTCCTGGGACATTTGTGTTTAAGCCAAAGCTTTGATTAACAGGACCTCTTGAGCCTTGGAGCATCCTTTGCAGTTGGGTGGGTCTGTTAAATGCATGTCTTCTTAGCAGGGATGCAGGATTTATTAAAATCTAATGTCAGAGAAACTTGTGCATAGGTCACACCACAGACAATGCTGGCCTTTGGTTCTTCTTGGCTACACAAGTATGTATGTTCCTGAAGTAGTCAATTTTAAGGATGTTAGTGCTGAGAGGAGTAACTTCTTCATAGAAGGAGACATACCTAGGAATAATGAGTTTATAAAGTGAGAGCATAACTTGTTTCCATGTTGTATGTTTTCTAATAATGAGACAGTTATTTGAACTCTGACCACAACAGGTCAGAATGTCTTTAATGCAATAGAATCCTGTTTGAAATCTTTGGGTTTATCTTATGAATCATAGAATCATAGAAGTAGGGTCGGAAGGGACCTT